GCTCCTGCGGCCCAAAACGCGCGCATATGCGGTAGTTCCTGCGAAGATTGGCGCGTTCCCGCCCGGCGCTCCGCTCTCCTTCGCGTCGGCGGGTGCACTTCCCGCAGAGAGGCGCGCGATCCTGCCTTCCTCGCCCCTCTCCCAGTGTTGGACGGCGCACCATTGGCGGACCTGATTATCAGTCCAGCCTCGGCCGCGCCAATACTCCATGTCCACGCGCGAGACGTGGGAGCTGGGGCCGCCCCAATCGGGCGGCGCCCCCACGGGGCCACGCGAGCGACCTCGCGGAACGCGATGCGTCATGTATGCGTCGGAGCTGGTCATGCCCCGCCCAATGTCCATGAGGTAATCGGGCGCGCTCGCAGTCGCAGGCCCGATTCTCTGCCTCGGCGTGTTTCCACGCAAATTATGCGTTCCCGTCGGCATGGTTGTCTCTGCCGATGGTATCTGCTCGCGCGCTTCCGCAATATTCGGTGGGCCCGCGTCCTGCAGCTCCGCGAGCGTATCTGGGGCCGTCTCTGCTTCGGAGATGCCCCCGTATCCTGCAGTAGCGTCTCCGCCGGAGTCGGAGGCCAAATCGTCGCGCGCGCGAGCCATCGCGTCTCGGTGGTAATGGGCGCACGTAAGAAGGGCGCCTTCTGAAAAAGGGGGGTCGAGTTCGGACCGATCGACGCACTCTGCGTCCTCGGCTGTCTCGAGAGCCGCCAAAAAGGCCGCGCGGTTTCCCCGCCCAGTCCCTTTCGAATTGCACTGGCTCTGGATATGTCTGTCGCTGCCGCGTCGGTTGCGCAGCATCCTCCTTCCGTTTCGGTCCACGGGGTTGAGTTCCCCGCCCTTTCCTCTTCCCGTGGAAGGGCGTCTGCCTCGGCCCTTGGCCTGGGAGATTTCCCCGAACTCAGCTTCGGAAAAACGGGCCATGAAGCTTGCGATGCCTGTGCCGTGTAACCGCCGGTAGCGACGACCGCCCTCTCCACGACCCCTCCCCCGTCGGCGACATGACCTCCGCAATGCCCCGCGCGCGCGCCGCGCGGGCTATTTTTAAATGCGCCGCCTCCAGCGGCGCTTTGCGCGCTGGTAGCCCAAGGACAAGCACTCAGCAGCTTCCGCGTCGTCGATGCCGCGGGGCAAATCTGACAGATCGATCCACTCAGTTTCGTCGGATGATAACGCGCCAGTGTCCTTCCCAGAGTCGATGGGCGAATTTCCACTGGAGGATCAGCCCGGAAGGAGGGCAGTCTGGCTCTCAGGGGCCGCGCGCGATTGAAGGTTAGAGGGCTGTCCCCAGCCCTTCTGCGCTGATGACGTTCAATCGCCTTTGCTAGTTTCCGGGCCCTCAGGGGTCGTCGCGAGGAGCGCAGCGGCCTCCTCTGAATTGGGGGCGCCAGCCCATATGTTACTGGACGCGGCCGCGTCTCCGCCAGCATTTGTCACGCATGTAGTCGCGTTTCCGCGACCTGTGCTGCCCTGTTCCGCGTTCCCAATGTTGCCAACAGCACGTTTCGCCAGATGCGCAAAACTGCGCATGCGGTCCAATAGTTCATCGCACTGTTGTTGGGCCCGTGGCATCTGACCGCCGGGAGGCCGAAGCGCCTGCGCAGCCCTGCCGGGGCTGAGCCTTAGGGCTCCGAAGGGCACAGCTGTGAGCAACTGAGAGTGCGGGATGGCAGAGCCAACTGAATCAGCCTCAAGACGGGCATTCTCGAATCTGGCGAAAATGGAATCCGTTCTCTCGCCAGGCTCGTGCGGAAAATCTATGGGCCCCATTCCCGAAGTGAGCGATCGGTCATCTTCAAGGTTCTCTGATATGGCGCCCAAGTGGAACAATACTTGTACGTTGCAGGGTCCGTATGGACGCCTTGTAAGTCACGCCGTAGTTTATGATATGGGGATGGATTCGCATCGCGATGGTGCGTGCTACCCTACCCAGACCACGCTGCAGGCATGCAGCTTGTTGTTGTGGGGTCATGCGGGCGCCAGTAACGTTCAGCCACGCATGTACTTGGGTCCCAATATGGCAACATGGCCCCCTTGTCGCATGGTCGCCTCCATCGTTGTGGTTGCCACGTTGCATGTATCCTATAGCACACCCGATGACCAACCAAAGGATGCTGAAAGCTACAGACTTCACGTAGGGATTCCACAGGACGTCTTGGACGTCGTTGTTGGTGGTCTTCGGTGGTCTACCGCCGTTGGGCGGCGAATTCGCTGTGGAGGTGTGTCCCAATGCTGGTTCAAGAGTATGGGGTCCGCGTTTCCGCGTAGTGGAAGTTGGTACCTGAACCTGTTTCCAATTACATCGTAAGTTGCAGTAGCATGGCGTGGAACTGGGGCGCCTGCGCTCTTCGGAATGGTCAGACAAATGTCGCCCATGGGGAATATAGCGGGTCCACAAATTGCGTTCCCGCCTGGTTGCCAATAGTCACGCTCTGACGTCGCGCTGGTGTCGGCGACATACCAAACCGTGCCGTGGATAACTCGTGCGATACACGGAGCTGACCACAACTTAGTGTGGCCAGCTCCGCTAGCAAGTAAACAACAGGACGGGGTCCATGTGGTAAGAGGTTTGGGAGTTGGTGTAAGATGGTGCATCTTCCAACGGCGTGATCAAATTCCTTTTCCAATGCTACAGTGGGCCGCAAGATCCTCTAGCGGTCCAGGCAAATCGGGCGCCGGCACCTTGAGCCAGAAGCCCGCGGCACGCTCGCTGTGCTCGATATATATATATATATATACATATATATGTATGTATATATATATATGTGTATATATATGTATATATATATATATAGAAAAGGCATGTATGTGTGTATCTATATATATATATATATCCTCTGAACCCCCTATTGCAGAGTCCGCCCGTCAAGGTCCGCCCGCCCGGCCCGACCCGACCCACCCGATGGGGTCCGTCCGCCCGACCCGACCGTTAAGGCTCGCGTCGGCGAAACCAGCGCCGGCGAAAACAGCGTCGGCGGAACCAGCGCCAGCGAAACCAGCCGCCAGCGAAACCAGCGGGGCGAAACCAGCGCCGGCGAAACCAGCGCCGCCGAAACCAGCCGTCGGCGAAACCAGCGGGGCGAAGCCAGCGCTGGCGAAACCAACGCTGGCGAAACCAGCTCATGCCAGGGCGATGAAGAAATGGAGGGAGGAGGGCATTTACAGCCTGTGATTTGTTGCACCCGCTCGTGCGGCCGAGCTCCTTGATCTGTAGTGCGACAACAGATCGCCCCAAGAGGGCCCTACGAGGCCCCCCAAGATGGCCTTCAGAGGCAAAACGACTTGTTCTTGCCACTCTGGGCTTCTGAACATCCGAGACGGTCCGAAATGCCTCCAAGGCCGGCCCAGGACGGCCCAAGACGATCCCAAGAAAGTCTGGAGACGACCCAAGAGGGCCCCAAGACAATCCGGAAGGCCCCCACTCCGACCAGAATGCATTCAAGAGGGCCCCAAGAGGCCCCCAACAGAGGGGCAATCAGAAACAGTCGTAGGGAACCCGGGAGCCCCTGCACCGAAAGATGACTCCCACGACTCTCTACATGCCCCTAAGAGGAGGTGCGCAAGAGGTCCACAAGAAGCCACCAGCGGGCCACCCAAAGTCTTCAGGCGCCCGGAAAATGCCTGAAGAGGACAGAGTCCCCCAGGAATCCCCACAGCAGGCGCGGAGGAAGAGAATACTGACGCAGCAACATGTACACGCGGGCAGCGCGATGGGAAGCGGCAAGCAAGCATGCGCGACACCGGCAGCCGCACATCTCCTCTGCTGCTGGTCGGCGGAGTGAAGTGAGCCTCTTGAGTAACAATCGAAGGGAGGAGAACCGAATCAGAGTTCTTGTGAACAGTTCGATCCCCCTAACTACCCCCCCACATACCACGCACAAGCCTGCACATCTGATCTTGGGCCGAGGGTTCACAGGCCCCCCAAACCCCCGAAGATGGGATGAGCTCCAGGGTACCACATGCCCTCCTCCACAGATGGGATGGGGTGGGTGACGACTACGACAACGACGACGGCGGCGACGACGACGGCACCGCAACACCTCCCCACAATGGGAGGAGGGGAAGGGCGGGGGCACGGACACCCCCCTCCACTACGCCACGCCCACACGGCCAAGACCACAGGAGGGGGTTGTGGGGGGGGGGACGATTCCCATTCGGGTGGCTCACGGGGGCGTGCCCATCCAGCGGAGGGGATCCCATTAGCAGTGGGGGGGGGCGGGCAAAGCCCTGGATCACAGATGGCCATAACAGAGCCATGACTCTTCCCCCCTCCTCGTCCTGGCACCTCTGGATCCCCCCCTCACTCTCTTCCGCGCCGTCCGCTTCCTCCTAGCGCCCGCCTCCCTCCTCCCCTCCCCCCGTCCTTCCTCCTTCATCCTCCCTATTTGTCCCGGATCCGTGGTTGATGGTTCCTGGGCCACGACAAACAGCCCCCACGAGGGCGAGGCGAAATCGAAAGGAAAACGTCGTCCGACCCTCTGGCAGCGAGGAGCTCGTCGGCGGAGGCACCCCGTGGATGGAACCCAGGCGTGCGATGTCCTGATTATTTCGATCCGCGGCCCACGGACATCCCAACCCTTTCGCCAGGGCCGGTCTCTCATTTTGGGCAGTTCTTTGAAGGCCCTGGGGCCCGGTGTGAGCCCCCTTGTGCAGAACCCTGAGAATTCCCTGCGTCCAGATTCTTTCATGACGTTGAGTGTTTGGGCGCGGCCGCCGCGGCGCAGCGGCTGGCGTTCATCGGCTGTCCCCTCCCTGGGGAGGAGGAGGAAGAGGAGGCGGAGGAGGAGGAGGAGGAGGAGAAGAAGAAGGCGGAGGAGGAGGAGGAGGAACATGTGAAGAAGAAGAAGAAAAAGGAGGATGAGGAGGAGGGGAGGAGAAGGGGAGGCCGATGGGAAGAGTAGGAGGAGAAGGAGGATGGGAAGAGGAGGAGGGGAGGAGGAGGGGGGGAGGAGGGGCTCGCATCGGCCTGGGCGCTCCGTGGATGGAGGGGGCCGGCCGCGGGCGGCCTCCGACGAGACGTTGGCCAGGGCGAAAACCTCGCGGAGCTCCACGCGGCTGAGGCCTGGCCCCCCCGTTCGACCATACACGCGAGAGCTCAGCGGGCGAAGACGAGTATCAAATAAACCTTTGCGTGCGCCGTCGGGGCCGCCTGGCCGCCGGGCGGCTAAAACGTTTATACCCTACGTGGCACCGCAAGGGACCAAACTTTCCAGCCACCTGGGGGGCAGGCGTCCCCGACGGCGGAAAAGCTCATCTCATACCGAGTCACCATACCGATGAGCCTCAGGACGCGTAGTATCGCCATCGTGTGCTGGTGCACCGAAGCCCTTCAACACAACACAGATGGTGTAACGAGGACAGGCGCAGGACGAACGGGGTCTACACACGCTGGGCCAGCACACGTCCTGAAGGTCCACGGCCCTAGTCAAGGGTGCTCGTTGGTTTCGCGGCTTTCGGAAGCGGCGGGTAGGCCAAATGCTAGCGAGCAGGCCAATGCTGGGGGGAACCCTGTGAGCCCGCACTGGAATCCATTTCGGCAGATGGCCACTATTACTTGAAAAGAGCCGGCCCGTGCACCGCCGGGCCCGTGGGCTGGCCGCCTCGGGGTAACACTGGAGGGATGACGAGGAACGAAGAGGAGGAGGAGAAGGAGGAGGAGGAGGAGGAGGAGGAGGAGGAGGAGGAGGAGGAGGAGGAGGACAAGTGTCAACCCAATACTCATCAACAATATCGAAATAATCCCTCCCCCAAGTTCCCCCCTTCATCGGCTCCTACAAGGATTCATTTTCACTGAAGAAAATGCCCCGTTGGAAGACAACTCTTTGAACGTCCTGAACTGTGCCAGGGCACCATCCCTGGGACTTCAACGCCGCGAATCAGTACTGTTGCGCCTTGGCGATCCTGAGTCACGTCGGGACACCATCCCTGGTACTCCAACACCACGAACCAACGTACCTGTTGCGCCCTGACAATCCGACATCGTGCCAAACACAATTTCTGGTTAACCATCCGAGTCCTTGAAACTGCTGTCAGCTCTTAAAACGAATGTGCGCGGCGCTACTGCGAGAAACACGTGTTGACAAGGAGCCACCCTCCGTCCGTGAAGCTCGCTGCAACTGCTTAAGACGAGCGTGCGCCGCGCTAGGGCGAAAAACACGTTGAAAAGAGCCGCCCTCCAATCGTGATTCTCTTTATATATGGCGGGTGTGCGCGGCGCTCAGGCGAGTACCCCACGTTCACGTTTAAAAGGGACCGCCATACATTCGTGAAGCTCTTGCAATTTGTTAAAATCAGTGTGCGCGGTGCTAAGGCGAAAACCACGCTTTGAAAACGGTCCGCCCTCCATCCGTGAAGATTTTGCAAACTTCTGACGTCCGTGAAAATCTTGCTGGGTTGTAGTGCGAGTGTACGCGGCGCTAAATCGAAGACCACATTTTGAAAATCACCTGCCAGCCATCCGGGAAGTTCGTGTAACTTCTCACCTTAAGGATCAGAGGTAAAGAAGTCTCAAGCGCAAATCCCGACACGCCGTACCGACACGCCTCAGGGTGCGACAGGGAGGAGTTGTTCAAAAGGAATAGAATGAATACGAGATGAGATGAGATGAGATGAGACGGCGCCTCAAGGCAGTCAAGACGGAAGGGACCAGCCCAAGCGAGAGACAGAACGTTACTCAAGCACGCACGACTGGCGACGACTCGAGACGCAGGTATGCGGCGTCACCTGGGGCGCGCTGCTCGCGCTACCCTCCAGGCCGTGCCTCCCTCAAAGGAAAATAATGGAGAGGAGGAGGAGGAGGAGGAGGAGGAGGAGAGGGAGGAGGAGCAGGAGGAGGAAGTGGGGGGAAGGAGGAGGAGGAGAAAGTGGGGGAGGAGGAGGAGGAGGAGGAGGAAGTGTGGGGAGGAGGAGGAAGGTGGGAGGAGGAGTAGCACTGCGCGAGAGCAAAACCTCGTTCTCATCTTGAACACCGCCCGCGTTTTAGACGATGCAACAAGCGAAAACGGCGCCATTCCCCAAACGTCCAAGCCTGCGCCCGCAAACATGAAAACAGAGCGACCGCGCACCGGCGCCCGAAAGCACACCAGGGAAGCGAAAGTGGCATGCGCAAATTGCAAGACATCGTGGTGCTCGCGCTCTGGAGGAACATCGCTGCGAGGCGGGGGTCTACCCACATTCACCGCCCGGGGAACCGACGCCTTGGGCTCTGAGGGGGTGTGGTGGGTATGGACATATTTTGACCTCTCGGGGGCCCCAGTGTGCATATTCACCGACTGCCGCAGTTATTGGAGCCTCGATCCCCTAGGCGGTGATTGCGGAGAAATCCCCACCTGGGATTTGAAGAAGAAAAAACTTCATGATCATAAATCTTCGAAGCTCCGCGCGGTTTTCGTGGAGGAGACCAGGTCAATCAATATCGAATCGGGAAATCGGATCGAATCGAAATCTGCGTCGCATCGGCACGGTTCGGAACGGGGCTGCATCGAACCGGATCGGCCGCGCCAAGTTGCACAGCAGCCTCATGCAAGCATCGGCAACCTGAGATCGCTGGGATCTAGGAATCGAATCAGATCGGGCTGGCCAGAGCACATCATTATCGAACTGGATCGCCTGGGAGGAGAAAGAGAAACATGAGACAGAGGAGAGGAAGTAGCTTGAGCACAAACGTCCACGGCGACAGCAAAACCGAAAGCCAATAGCGAAATCGAAGCGCAAAAATGATACAACAACCAACCGAACCGAATCGACCAAACGCAATCGACTGCGACGTGGCCGAACCGACGGAATCGCGGACCCCCTTGATGACGAAGGCAGATCCGTTCCCACGACGCTGGGTAGAGGGCCCGCTCAAAAAGTCAGGGAAGCAACCCGGCTTGTCGATGGTGAGTTCGACATGGAGGACGAAGAACCCGATGATGATGTCGGCGAGTTCGAGATCGCCACCGCGCTTGCAATCATAGCGATTCTAGACATCGGGCGTTTGGACTTTCTCGATGCGTTGATCTTTGGACCTCCCCACCCCTTGCCCAAGAAGATGTTCGTTGTGGGGACCTTCACGGCGCCACTCGCTCCACTCATGTGTCGGTGCTATGTCGAACGTCTGTCGACTTGAGTCAAACTTGAGTCGAACTTGAGTCGAGCTGGAGTCAAACTAGAGCCGAACTAAGGTCGAGCCGATCCGCTAGGTGGGCCCCAGGAAGGTCCCCAAACGAGCATCTAACCGCAGCGTCGCCTTCTCATCCCGAGTCGTTCTCAGCCGACCCCGCTGTCCGACACCAACACCCTGAAGCCAATAGAAAAGGCGACGAGTCAAAACCGCAGTGATATTATTTCTTGTCCGAGGCGCTGGATGCATGGGAGGAGGAGGAAGAGGAGAAGGAGGAGGAGGAGGAGGAGGAGCGTACACCTAAGGAGTGCAGCTTTCCTGCGAGGCCCCCACGGGAAGGGCCTGCAGAGGCCGAACACCGTAACAAAAACACGCCCGCCGCGACTTCTTCACAGCGGGAACGAGGTGTGGGCACGCACCTCCCATGAGCGGGTTGCCGGCGGCGGCGCTCGAAGGCGCACCCGTGCGCAGCCGACCGGGGCCTGCCCAAGTGCAGCAGGCAGAGCTTCGGTGCGCCCCTGGCACGGCCGCGAGCGCGGCCCGCCCGCGGCGCCCGAGGCCGCGGCCGCCCTCGGCGCGGGGGCGGCGGGCGGCGGAAAAGCGGCCGCCCCGCCGGGCCGGAGGTCGGCCAGACTTCGTCGGGTCGGCCGCCGCACACCGTGCCGTTGGCTCGATTACCGCGGCGTCATGGCCGCACCCTGCAGGCAGCGCAGAGGGGCGCAGCGCCACGTGGCAGCGACCGGCCGAGCCGCACACCGGCCGAGCGCAACCAGCCGCGAGGCGGCCACAGCCGACCGAGGCGCAGACACCCCTGGGGTTTCCAGGGCGAGCGGGCGAGAGAGCAGCCGAACGAGTTGTTGTTGACTCGCGGACAGAGGGCCCAACGGCGCGGCCGCCGGCGCCCCAGCACGGTGCCGACCTAGTCGGGCACCTTCGGTAGCTGTGGGAGTCGTCTCGCAGCTAAGGTACAGTCGGACCTGGGCCAGAAGAACATCCCTCAAGAACATGAGACCCTGCGCCGGCCAAAACGCACTGAACATCCAAGGGCCCCCCCCGCAGAATGCTCAAGGGCTTCCAACAAGCAGGAAGAACATCAGGGCATTCTCCCCGAGGCGACCTCGATCTTACACCTCGGTCCGACTGCAACGAATTCAACCTCGCTCGGCATTCGGCTCTCGATTCCGAGAAGCCGAGCGGCCCACGGCTCCAGACGCGGCCAGGCGGCGCTGGCTGGGCAGGCAGCACCCGCAGGCCCTGCCAGGTCCAAGCTCGGGCATGCGCACGAGCGCGTGGCTTTCAGGGGGATTTTCGTAACCTCGACTGGGCCCACAGCTGAGTGCAACTTAGCTGGCAGCGCGGGGGCTTGCAGCTTGCTCCGCTGAAAAAGTTGCCTCAGCTGTCAGCTGGCACGACTACAGGCCCAAGGCACGAAACATTGCATCTCCTGTGACCGACCTCTGCGGTGGCAAATCCAGGACTGGCTTCCAGGGGGAATAAGGAGAGGAGGGTGAGGACGATGAGAGGGCAAGGCAAGACGATGAGCCATGGGCGAATCCAGCAAACGGCACCTTAGCCACAGTCGCCCGTCGAGGTGGTGTGGAGGCCGATGCCTTTAGCATCTACAACCTTCTGGCGATATCTGGAGACCTCCGGGGACTCCTGGCAAGAGGCCCGCCTCGAAATGTCGCAACCACTCACAACCAGTGTAAGCCATGGTGACATACGCCACGCAGCCTGAACGGAGTGGGCGTGTTGGAATGCTCGTCTTGTTGCCTGCTCGTTTTTGAATGTGCTTTCTAAGGCCGACCCCTCCCCCCGCCACAAACTAACCAACACCCAAAAACACGCCCCCCGTAAATTTGCTCTCCGGCGCTCTTTTCCGCCTCCAGACGGCGAAGATGGTTCTACAGACGGCTTCCAAGACAGCCAAGATGACACCACGACGGCCCAAAATTTACAAACCCGGCATACGTAAGAGGCTCCGAAACGGCCGCAAGACGGCTCGAGAGGCTTCCAAGACGTTTTTGTTCATCCATCGACTTCGGGGAAAACAGAACACCACATTGCAGAGGTCAGTAGTATGTGTGCGAGCAAACTGCACTGAAGGATTCCCGCTGCAGGGCACAAACCCTTACTCGCCATCTGGGGGCGCGCCACGCGGGTGCAGGGGGCTCCGACGAGCGCCTACCTTCGAGCATGCTCACTCTCGGCTGCTTCAGGGAGATCCTAGAAAATCCATTGCTTCGTCTTCTTGGGTGTCCAAATCTGCGTGGTCGAACTTGATCGAGCGCTGGCTCGATGTCAGCGTCTAAATGGCTGGCGGTCGGGCGCGAGGCGAAAAGGCGCGGCTGTGGGTGGGCACTGGCGGGCGCGGAGCAGGCACGAGAGGGGGGCCTCAGGAAAAAAAGGGAACGACAGGTGTCCGCGGACTTACGTTCCTGCTGAAGCAAGGCCCCGCGCCCCCAAAGCTGAAGCAAGGCCCGGCCCCCCAGCAGCGGTGGCGCCGACGACGGTGGTTCCAATCCATCGACTTCGGGCGGCTGTATCAAGGAGGCCCTAGAAAATCCATTGCTTCGTCTTCTTGGGCGTCCAAATCTGCGTGGTGCTTCCAAGATGTCCGAAGATGACTTCCGGGTTTCTGACCGCCCAAGACTGTCCACACGGCCTCCAACACAGCTGCAAGACAATCCAAGAGGCCCCAAAGAGGGCCAACGTGGGCCCCAAAGAGGAGCCCAATATCGCCCAATAGCCTCCCAAGAGCCTCCGCACCAAGACGGCCCAGAGAGGCCTCCAAGACGGACTCCCAAGGCGTTCGATGGGCCAAGAGCTCCCTAAGACGGCCCGAGATTCCCAGAGAGCCCCCCAAAGAGACCGCAAAATGCCTTTTCATGTTCTCCTTTTCCTGCTCATCCTTCTCCTTCTCCTCCCTATCGGGCGGACGACGATGAGGTCGAATTCGCGATCCGCCTCAATTCACCGCTCGCCCAACTGCAGCAGGGCGTGAACTCGACCTCCCCCTATACCGCGAGGACAAATACGCTGTCGAGTTCACGACCCGTTCCAGTGCAGACCAGACGTCGGAATTGCGCTGTTTCTATACTCAGTCTCATTCCTGCTGCGCTGTTGCAAAGGCACGGTGGCGGGGTTTGCAAAAGGCAGCTGGCTAGATAGCTCTGAACGGATAGTTCGATATATCGATACCTGAACAAGTTATCGATGACATTATATGCTGAACGAGTCCATTCAGGCATCTGCCGTTCGCTCAAGACCGGCCTGCAAGTGGGACCAACTCGACTTCCCTCCTTATCCAACTCACCCTCATCCCTCATCCCATCCCCATGCACCCTTCTACCTCCTCACCCCCTGTCCCTCCTGACAACTTCCTCGTCCTCCAGCTCACCCTCCTGTACCTCCCTCATCTGGCCTCCTCCCGTCATCGTGCCTTCTCCTCCTCTTTCCCTTGTAACACAGAGGGTCTTTAGTGCTGCGCCCCCCCCCCCTAGCTCTCAAACTCGTCCCTCCTCCTCCTTCCCCTCCTTCCTCTTCCTCCTCTCTCTCCTCCTCCTCCCCCTCATCCTCCTCCTCATCCTCTTCCTCCTCCTCTTCCTCCTCCTCCACCTTCTCCTCTTCCTCCTCCTCCTCCTCTCCTCCTCCTTGTCCTCCTCTCCTCCTCCTCCCCATCCTCCTCCTCTTCCTCCTCCTCCTCCTCCCCGTCCTCCTCCTCCTCCTCCTTCTCCTCCCCCGTCCCCCCCCTCCTCTCTCGCTTTCCTGCTTCTTTGTCCTCGGCCCCCTTGCTCTCCGCACAAATTCCACCGTTGGGGTCCCAATCCGTTGGGGTCCCAATCCGTCAACAAGACCGCGGGATAATGACTTAGTTCCCCATTCTTGCCCATGGGGTATGAAAGACCCTTCGCAGTTATCCCTCTTCGCCCCTCCCCTCACTCAAGAACCCCGCGTCCAGACGACGGTCCCTTCTTGCCCCCTCAACCGCGACAGCGGCGCATTGGAGCTCGCACGGCACGCGTATCACCCCGCCGCTGCGGATAAGAGTGAGGGGGCGGCGTGGTCGTCGGCGCTCTTCTTCGAGGCTCTGAAGAAGCCTGTCGCAGGCGCCGATTGTTTTAACGCGTTGCGCAACGAGACCGCCGCAGGCGCCGACTTCTCGTCAAAACTATGCGGGTGGGTCGCGGGGTGGGTCGCGGGGTGGTTCTCGGGCGGGTCGCCGGCGAGAACGGCGACACCAACGCAACAACAACAACCTTCACCGCGGAACCAGACTTCAGCCACGCGCCCACAGACAATGAATGACCGTTCGGCCCCCTTCATTCTGATACCTCTAAGGTTCCTACCCCTCCTCCTCCTCCCTTCTCCCCCTCTCGTTCGTTGGTGTTTTCCTCCGTCTCCTCTCTGGCATCCTCTTCGTCCTCCCCCCCCTCCTCCCCTTCCCGTTCTCCTCCACTTTGCCTCCTCCTCCTCCTCCTCGTCCCAGCTCCTTCTCCTCCTCCGCATCCTCCTGCTACTTCTTCTGCTTCTCCTCCTCCTCCCCCTCCTCCTCCATCTCCTGCTCCTCGTTGCCCTCGGGCTGCTAGAGTGGCACCCTGGCGAAATGAGCCTGGCTGTCCCTAGCAATCAGACCAAACGGAGCATCGGTCCGCGTGGCGAACATGAGACCAGCTTATCTTTCTTCCCGCATTTGGCGCCTGGCACCTGTGCGGGCCTGCGAGTAATGTGTGCACGATCGGCCTGCGGGATGGTTCGTCCCGTTCGCGGGGCCACCGCGGGCGCCAACACCTGCGCCACGTCGGCCGCACGCCCACCAACGAAGTGCACAGGGCCTCCGAGGCAAACCTCTCGCACGCCGATTCTGCACAAGGGCTGTATGCATCAAGTCGGTCTGGCTGACATCCTGCTCTGTGACCAGCACGCAGGATAAGCTTCATTGCACACGCAGCTGGCAATGGGGCTGCTGCGCTTTCTGCTGCTGAGCCACCGCTACCCCGCAACGGCACATTACGCTGCATGGCGGGATGGCGTAGGCAGAGTACTCGAATCCGTCTCCCCCGAAGAATGGGATTGTGACCGTAGCGCCGCGCCGCACAGTGTGATGTGTAACAATGCCTTGCGTCAAGTCGCGATGTTTTCATCAGCTGAGACGTTGAGGCAGTGGGGATGGGGGCGGGACAGTAATCGAATCGACGCTTAGGCGATGTGGCTGCTGCTGGTGATGATGATGATGCTGCTGATGCTGATGATGATGATGATGATGATGATGATGATGATGATGATGATCGTCACCCTCCTCCTGTCCCTGCTCGCCTTCTCCTCCTCATCTTCCGCTTGCCTTTCCTTCACCTTCTCCTCGACGCCATCGCCCTGCTCCATCTCGTTCCCCTCCCGTCTTTGCTGCTGCTCCTGCCCGTTCCTCCTCCCCCTTGTATCAACACTATATTCTCATTCGTGCGCCTCGTGTCTTCGGCCTGATCTTCGTCATCTGTGGATCACCCTTCACCGGGGAATGCTGCACTTGGCTCAAATGCTTCATGTTGCCATGTTCCGTCTCCCGCTGTGTGTCTCGTCTCTGTCTCCCTGCCCTCCCCATTTTATGGAGGCCTCCCACATGGGGTCCGAGAAAAATGGGATCGGAGGATCGCCCCGCATCGCTAGTGCATCTTTGATGTATCGCCGATGCATCGGCGATCTAGGCGATGCATCGGTGACGTCGACGCGGAGGAAATCGGGCCCCACTTCGAGCCGAATCGCCGATGCGTCCACGATGCGGCGCGACCTTTCTACCCCGTCGGCTCGGTCCCTGGGGCGACTTGTTCGTCCAGACGAATTCTTCGACGGTTTCAGGGGCCGTGGAAGGGCCCTGGAGGCCCTGAAGCGGCAAAACACCTTCAGGACCCCTCTGCTTCGGGACCTGTCTCCTTCCTGGCGATCCCCGCCCCCTCCGTGCGCCGAGATCTTGGACGTCTTCTTCACGGCGTACGCGCACCGGTCGATCCTGTGCTGTGCGCGGTACACCTCGGATGACAGCGCGCGGCGCCGCACGCGTCTGGTCCCAGACGGAGATGGAGAAGAGCAGCACGAAGGCAATTTGGCGGCGCGCACCAGAGGATGTGTGGAGGGAAGAAACATTCGTAAACGGAGGCAGCACTGCTTCTTAGAAGGCGCCGGCCTTACACCTATAGACAAGGCCCGCGCCTTCTAAGAAGCAGGGGTGCATCTAAGAAGCCTTCCTCCCTCCCGCATCCCACTCTGCGCGTGGCCGAACAATGGCCTCGGCGACGTCCTCCTCCTCCTCCTCCTCCTCCTCCTCCTCCTCCTCCTGCTCCTCCTCCTCCTCCTCCTCCTCCTCCTCCTCTCCCTCCTCCTTCTCCTCCTCCTCCTCCATTCCCTTTCCTTGTAAATAACTTCTCCCTGTCGCACCCCGAGGCCACTTCTTAGGGCGGGCCGGGCGCTTCGCCTGAGACTTCCTCACCATGTACGACTCTGAAGCTTAACAATTGGCAATAGTTTCACATATGGAGGGCAGCTGGTTTTCAAGCTGTGGCTCAGCCTGAGCGCGGCGCACATCCTTTCTAAAAGTCTGCGAGAATTTTACTGATTGAGGGCGGATGATTTTGATTATCCCGGCAAAGCAACCTAACAGCGATGTGTAGAAGCATATCTGGAAGCATTCTCCTTAAGATTCAGATCAGAATCCAGTTGTAGAATTCTGCTGTTCTCACAGTCGCAGTCGCATTCGCGATGACAGTCGCAGTGGCAACGGCATTCGCAATCACAGCCTCAGCCTCAGCCTGCCTGAGTATCAGCCTGCCTCACTCTCAGCCTCAGCCTGCCTCAGCCTGCCTCAGCCTCAACCTCAGCCTGCTTCAGCCTCAGCCTCAGTCTGCCTCAGCCTCAGCCTCAGCCTCAGCCTCAGCCTGCCTCAGCCTGCCTCAGCCTCAGCCTGCCTCAGCCTCAGCCTCAGCCTGCCTCAGCCTCAGCCTCAGCCTGCTCAGCCTCAGCCTCAGTCTGCCTTCAGCCTCGGCCTCAGCCTCAGCCTGCCTCAGCCTCAGCCTGCCTCAGCCTCAGCCTCTGCCTCTGCCTCAGCCTGCCTCAGCCTCAGCCTCAGCCTGCCTCAGCCTCAGCGTCAGCCTCAGCCTCAAGCCTCATTCAAAATGTGGCCCGGGAGTGGAGTTCTGGGAACTCGAAGACCGCGAAGTGGCCTACAGTTGGCTCCGGGCATTCAAAATGTGGCCCGGGAATGGAGTTCTGGGAACTCGAAGACCACGAAAGTGGCCTACAGTTGGCTCCGGGCACCCAAAATGTGGCCCGGGAATGGAGTTCTGGGAACTCGAAGACCACGAAGTGGCCTACAGTTGGCTCCGGGCATCCAAAATGTGGCCCGGGAATGGAGTTCTGGGAACTCGAAGACCACGAAGTGGCCTACAGTTGGCTCCGGGCATCCAAAATGTGGCCCGGGAATGGAGTTCTGGGAACTCGAAGACCACGAAGTGGCCTACAGTTGGCTCCGGGCATCCAAAATGTGGCCCGGGAATGGAGTTCTGGGAACTCGAAGACCACGAAGTGGCCTACAGTTGGCTCCGGGCATCCAAAATGTGGCCCGGGAATGGAGTTCTGGGAACTCGAAGACCACGAAGTGGCCTACAGTTGGCTCCGGGCATCCAAAATGTGGCCCGGGAATGGAGTTCTGGGAACTCGAAGACCACGAAGTGGCCTACAGTTGGCTCCGGGCATCCAAAATGTACGCCGGGAATGGAGTTCTAGCAGCGCCAAGAGCGATTTTGCGAGGATGTCCCAAGCGATTTGGGCTTCGACGGCAGCCGCCCCGGGTCCCGCCCCGACCCCCCTGAGGAGTCATGATGCTCTCTTTTGGCTTCTACTAGAAACCTATCAGTCTTCGCTGTTAGGTAAAAATGTGGCTCTCGCCTGAGCGCGGCGCACATCCGTTTTTAAAACATGGGAAGAGTTTCGCGGAATGAGGGCGAGTGGTTTTCAAAATGTGGCTCTCGCCTAAGCGCGGCGCGCATCCTTTTTTAACACATGGCAAGAGTTTCGCGGATTGAGGGCGAATGGTTTTCAAGCTGTGGCTCTCGCCCTAGAGCGGCGCACAGTCGTGTTAAATCATAGCAAGAGTTTCACGGGTTCAGGGCGGTTCCATTCCAACATGGGGCTCACTCGTTTGTGCACCATGTTCGAACATGTCGCACGGATTCCCATCATCAACGTACCAGAAACGGTGTTTTGGAAGGATCCAGGATTATGCGGGCGCGACAATTTCGTTGATTCTTTGTGTTGAAGTCCACGGAATGGCGTTCTGGCACGATTTAGGATCGTTAAGAGGCAACAGTCAAGTGGATCCGTGACGTTGGACTCCCGAGAACAATGTTTTGGCATGCTTCAGGGTCTTCAAAGGGGTGTATTCCAACGGGGCAGTTCCCTCAGTGGACATGAAACGTTGTAGGGGCCTATGAAAAGGGAGCCTGGAGGGATGGTTTACTCCATCATCGTTGGTGATTCTTGGGTTTACACTGGTCCTCCTCCTCCTCCTGCTCATGGCCAGCCGTCCTCGCGTCCTCCACCCCCCGTCCGCGCCCCCCTCGCCCCGCCCACCGAGGCAGGGGCCGTGGAGAACTGGCCTCTGCCGATGGCGACAACGCCGCAGAACTCCCTGGGCCGCACGAAGAGGGGGAGGCCCCGCGGAGGAGGTGGAGGAGGAGGAAGGGGAGGAGGAGGAGGAGGAGGAGGAGGAGGAGGAGGAGGAGGAGGAGGAGGAGGAGGAGGAGGAGGAGGAGGAGGAGGAGAAGGACGACGAGAAAGAGAAGGAGGGAGGAGGTGGAGGAGGAGGAAGGGAGGAGGAGAGGACGACGAGGACGAGGAGGAGGAGGAGGAACAGGAGGAGGGGGAGGAGGAAGAGGAGGAAGGAGGAGAAGGAGGAGAGAGGAGGAGGAGGAGGAGAGGAGGAGGAGGAGGGCAGGAGGAGCAGGAGGAGGAGGAGGAGGAGGAGGAGCTGGAGGACGAGGAGGAGGAGGAGGACAAGGAAGAGGAGGCGGAGGACCGAGGAGGCGGAGGACAGAGGAGGGGGAGGAGGAAGAGGAGGAGGAGGAGGAGGAGCAGGAGGAGGAGGAGGAGGAATAATATTAATAGTATTAAGAATAATAATATAAATAATACTTACATCAATAATAAGACGAGTAATCATAGTGAGCAGAATAAGAATAAGAGTAATACTAATGAGACGGCAAATAAGAATAATAAGACGAACCAACATACGAATCATAATGCTAATCAGAATAAGACGAGTATTAATAACAATAAAAAATACTAATCAGAAGGATGAAAAATAATAGGAATAACGAGAAGAAAGAGAAACAGAGGAGGACGAGGAGGAAGAACACGAGGACGACGAGGAGGAGGAGTCCCGCCGCCGCAGCCGGCTGGGCGCTCGGAGCCGCGCGCCCCTCGCCCTCGGTGCCACGACGAGCGGTCGGCTGCGCCCGTAGACCAAACGTGCGACGTCCGGATGTCGTCGTCCACGCGAGGCCCCCAGAAGCCCCGACTCTGCGTGTCCCCAGGGCTGGCTCTCCATTCTGGCCTACTCTTGGAATGTCCTGGGGCCTGGCAGTCTTGGGGCGTGCGGCGCGCTCGCGGCCGCGCGGCCGCCGCGGCGTCGGGCGCGGCCGCCGCGGCGCGGCGGCGGGCGTTCAAGGGCTGGCCCCTCCGCAGGAGAGGAGGAGGAGGAGGAGGAGGAGGAGGAGGAGGAGGAGGAGGAGGAGGAGGAGGAGGAGGAGGAGGAGGAGGAGAAAGAGAAGGAGGAGGAGGAGGAGGAGGAGGAGGAGGAGGATTTTGACGTCAACTCCAAGGCCTGAGTAATAAATTATCGCCACGGCACAGGCTCCACCGTGAACCCTGCATTCGACGGGTGCCGATCCTTACACATCGCTTTGAAAGTTTCGGTATTCTTCCTCGTCGGTGGCTGGCATCGCTGAGCTAAGCCTCGAATGTATCCCAGCGAGCCGTACGAATGGCACCTCAGGCAAACAGTCAGGAAGGTGCCATCTGACACCAGGAGCGATACAGCATTATGCCCCAGCTCTCTGAGACTAGGCCCGTCCAGCTTCGACTCGTTAGGACACGAGCCACCAGGCATCACGCGGCTCTTGCGCGAGAGCAAACAGTGTTGGCAGCGCCAATTAGGTGAAGCGATAAAACCCTCGCCTTTCTCCCATGCCCAGGCGTGGGGCCTGGAAGGTGGCGAAGGATCCGCGGGCGGAGGCACCCACGGGCAGTTAGTTCAATCGAGAGGCGACCAGAGCGGCAGCAACTTCGCCGCGAGCTTGCAAACCGCCTTTGCGATCTTAATTCACCAGTTGAGAACACACTCCTCGGCCTCCGAGGGGCGGGGGTGAAGAGTCGCCCCCTGCTTGGCAGCCCGATCTGCCAGATCATTCCCAAGGCGCCTCCAGCGCTCCTCAGGTGAGATGCCCGCTTCCTGCGGGTCTTTGTTAGCATCCACCTTCACGACGGCATCGACGGACGACTCCCCAAGACGATACATCATCATGAGCCCTGCAAACGGGCGACGGTAGCTGAGCTGCGCAGCCTTATCCCCAGCACAGGCGGAGATCACATTCGCACAGTCACTGAAAAACGTAGAGCGCTGCTCGGCAGGAAAAGCGGCCTCGCCAAGACGGACTCCACCGCCGGCGGCAGCGCCAGAACGTTCCGGACGCGCACTGCCGGAACGTTCTGGTGAATTTTTCTGCTGGAGCGTTCTAGTGAACGTTCTGGTGCCATTGTTCATGACCTCGACTCCTCCGCGGGCGAGGGCAGCGAATTCAGCGCACTGCGAGGTCTGGATGAACGGAGCATATGTTGGCACGTAGATGTGGCACACCCTATCCCCAGCAGCATCGACCTTGACAAGCCCGTACCCAGCGCTCGAGAGCTCGGCAATCTCATGACGGAAGCAGCTGCCGTCAAGGAATATGTTGCCCGAAAATGTGCCACAGTCCTGGGGGGGCTCAACCCGATCACACACAGCCTGGAAACCTTCATCAACTAACTCCCGAGACGGCCTAGGGAAGAAGCTACAGCAGGACAACACCACAGGCGGTGAAACTCCGTGTCTCTGCAGAGACCGCAGATCTCGCATCGATTGTCGACTAGGCTGTATCCGAGCTTGATGTCCCGATCATGCGTCCACGGAGCTTCGCAGACCAGGCTCCTGATCGATCCCTTCTCCTGAGGAGTGAAACGCGAAGATCGGGGACGATTGCGGACGACGTCGAAACACAACCGGTCGCTCGATAGGCCCTGCTTCGTCGAAGCCTCTCGTTCTAGAGCTCGCCGATAGGCCTGCTGCAGCATTTTCTTCAGCATCGCGGAAGAGACACTCGTCAGCAACAACGATTCTCCGAAGTCATGCACGAAAGTTACGAAATCTGTCATAGACCACTTGATCCGCTGTAAAGAGAGACGCATGGCGCTGATGGGGCCACCTACCTCTCGCCACCACGGCTCCGCCGCCGTGAAAACCGTCTTCCAGCTGAGGCGCAGCAGGTCCCAGGGGAGCGTGAAGGGGTAGGCGCCCGTCTGGAGCGCCCAGATCTCTTTGGCATACCGAATCACGGGGGCCACGGCCCCAATCCAGGTGGGGTCGTCATTAACGAGGAGGGTGGAGGACAGCGAGCGCCCCCGAACCCCAGGTTTCAGAACGCGCCCCGCCTCACGGCGGATTGCCGCCAGCTCGAAATCCGAGAGCCCGTGGACCTCCGCCCCGTACAAGACCCCACGGAGGGCCCCAGAGACCCAGATCCGCTTACTAATCTTCCCCAAACAACACCGAAGCTTCACCATCTTCCTGGTGGTAGCCTTCAGGGTGTCAGTACGCACGCGAAACGCTTGCCCTCTCCTGGCCACACGTCTGGGTCTCCCCGCGGCCTCATCGATTCCCAAATTCACGGCGCTATCCGTGATCGGGCCCGCCAGCGGGCCGAGAACGTGACGAAGCCGCGATGAGACCTCAGCAAACGAGCAGACAAAAGAGGCCTTGTCCGGCGCCACCTTGCATTCCATGCCCAAGGTGAGAGCGTCGTGAAGAGCCTGCGAGGCCTGCTTCAAATCGCGCGCAACCTGCGACTTAGAGCCCACAGATGACAAGCAGCTTTCATCGATGTACTGGTCCAGCTGCACACTGGGCCCCAGCTGGAGGCTGTCGATGGGGGGCGATCATGTAAACCTTGACCCACGTAGTCGCTAGTGAACACCCTGCAATGACCCCTCGAACGGCGTAGTGGGGCCCAGAAACGTAGCCTGCCATACACACGAATCGGGCACCGCGGTAGGCAGCGAGGAGGAGGAGCAGGAGGAGAAGCAGGAGGATGGGGAAGAGGAGGGGGAAGATGAGGAGGAGGAGGAGGAGGAGGAGGAGGAGGAAAAGGAGGAGGAGGAGGAGGCGGAAGAAAAAAGGAGGTGGAGGAGGGGGAGGGGAGGAGGAGGAGGAGGAGGAGGAGGAGGAGGAGGAGGAGGAGGAGGAGGAGGAGGAGGAGGAGGAGGCGGACGAGAAGGAGAAGGAGGAGGAAAAGGAGTTCAGATAGCTCGAACGAGAAAAAACGAGGGCAAGCGGACAAGAAGCGAGACGAGACCAGGTGATGATCCCGCTCGCTCCCACCCACTGCAACGCCTAACACTGCTGTAATATGTGGTTGTGTTGGCCGCAGCATTCGAGCGCGCTTTGATGCCAACACTCGGGAAAGCTGGAAAAACAGGGATGGGTGGCAGGAGCGACGCGGGAGGAGGACGGGCAGGAGACGAGCGAAGCGACGGGCACCAAGACGGGAAAAACAGGGTGGAGTGAGCCAGACGGCGGTCTCAGGGCTACATTGGCGGGTGGCCTCAGGGGCCTCGTGCGCAGCGGCGGCCGCGCTGGGCGGCGGAACGGCGCGTGCATCGGCAGGCAGAGCTTCTTCGGGATTTGCAGGATGGGCCGCGTCAGCCAATCCGTCGCCACCAGTGGCAGCCTCGTGCAGGACGGGATCTTGAGGACGGAAACGTCCACGACCAACGGCAGCGTGATGCGGGGCCCGCTCAGAGGGAGGGGGTTGTGCGCCACCAGCGGCGGCATCAGGTAGGACGTGGGCGTCGGGATGGGCATGGGCGGCAGGGTCAGCCAATCGATCCCAGCGTCGGTGCACGTAGTCCCAGCAGATACCCCACCAGAGGAGAAAGAGAAGGAGGAGGAGGAGGAGGAGGAGGAGGAGGAGGAGGGGGGGGAGGAGGAGGGGCAGGAGGGCGAAGGGAGGAGGAGGAGGAGGAGGAGGAGGAGGAGGAGGAGCAGGAGGAGGAGGTTGACAGCTCCATGTGGCTGGACGTCGCGAGCTGCATGATGGGCTGCGGACGCCACTCCAGGCAGCGGAGCAGCACGAGCCTCGTCATGAGGCGCGACGGCACGCCGCGCAAGTTCATCGACCAGACCAGCGAGAACCAGACGGCCGCATCTGAGTTGGAGCAGATCGGGGCGACGAGGGTGCGACCGCCATCGGGCACTCGCCGAGGGCCAGCAGGAGCAGCACGATCCGCACCAGCGGCAGCGTCTTGGACGCCGTCGAGCACACGTACACCAGGAAGGGCATGCGGATATACTTCGAGAGCGGGATGTGCACCACACGC